TTAACAACACTATTTCCATCTATATCTTTCCTTAGATGGAAATACCCTAACAAAAAAAAAAAACTATTGTTAACTATAGTTTACTATAGTTAACTATAGTAAATCAAAGTGTCAAAGTTTTCTTCAAAGTTTCTCAAAGTGTCAAAGTTTTTCAAAGTGTCAAAGTTTTCATCAAAGTTTTTCAAAGTGTCAAAGTTTTCGTCAAAGTTTTTCAAAGTGTCAAAGTTTTCGCCCAAGTTTTTCATAGTATCAAAGTTTTCAATAAAGTTTTTCATAGTGTCAAAGTTTTCTATATAGTTTTTCATTATATCAAAGTTTTCGATAAAGTTTTTCATAGTGTCAAAGTTTTCGATATAGTTTTTCATAGCGTCAAAGTTTTCGATAAACTTTTTCAAAGCATCGAAGTTTTCGATAAACATTTTATAAGTGTCAAAGTTTTCGATAAAGCTTTTCAAAGAGTCAAAGTTTTTCAAAGTGTCCAAGTTTTTGATAAAGCTTTTCAAAGTGTCCAAGATTTTGATAAAGTTTTCAAAGTATCCAAGTTTTCGATAACGTTTTCCAAAGTGTCAAAGTTTTCGATAAAGTTTTTCAAAGTATCGAAGTTTTCGATAAAGTTTTTTAAGGTGTCAAAGTTTTCGCCAGAGATTTTCAAAGTGTCAAAGTTTTGCCAAAGTTTTTCATAGTATCAAAGTTTGCACCAAAGTTTTTCAAAGTGTCAAAGTTTTCGTCAAAGTTTTTCAAAGTGTCAAAGTTTTCGCCAAAGTTTTTCAAAGTGTCAAAGATTTCCCCCAAGTTTTTCAAAGTATCAAAGTTTTCGCAAAGTTTTTCAAAGTGTCAAAGTTTTCGTCAAAGTTTTTCAAAGTGTCAAAGTTTTCGATAAAGTTTTTCAAGGTGTCAAAGTTATCACTATAGTAAATCAAAGTTTTCAAAGTGTCAAAGTTATCACTATAGTTAACTATAGTAAACTATAGTTAACCATAGTATTTTTTTTTGCTAGGGATAGTGTTGTTAGTGAATATATTAAGCAGGAATTTGTTGAACAGTTAGTAAGAGAGACATAGTTAATTTATAGCCTTTGATCATATATTCAGAATAGTACTTTTCACATTTTAAATATACGAGTACATGATAAAAGGTTAAATAGTTTACGAAAAAGATTATTACTCAAACATTCCATATTAAATACAGGGGATTGACAATTTTTTTGAAGAAATTGGCAAATTGAAACACATTGAAAGAATAATTAACACACCCCAAGGCCAGGGTTTAAAAAACTTACAGGTAAATTTAATGCATACTACGCATTCTGTAAAAGATATAAAAAAAACACTCTGAACAAGTGACAACAGTATTAAAACAGGTTATTACTTTCCTCAAAAAACGTGGGAGAAATATTGGTGAAATAATAAAATTTTATAACAAATAAATTTTTAATGAGTTTCGACTGCATTCCAGAAGCAAAAAGACCTGTCTCATAAAAAATTACACATGTATTCGCATAGGAATGCATTTATTTGAATATCGATCCCACAACTGCAAACATCTATTTTGAGACTGTCTCGTTAACCTATTTCCTTGACAAGAACTTTGCAACAGTCTTTGCTTTCTCAACTCTTTTGAATTCATCCATGTAAATATAATTAAGAATCTGTTCTGTTCTCACAGGGAAATAAAGTTCCTCCTTCTTTCACTACCCAAATGAAAAAAAGTGTTTGCTTAATAAAAAGGACGTATCCAAGTATCTTCGAAGATCCGTGGAATTTTCATAAAAGATAAATGAACAATAAATATTGAAAAACAAAGGCAAGGAAAGACATCCTGTAACATATATACATTAGCTGTAAAGAACTGTTTTCAGTATTTCATTCAAAAAGAATGTTTTCTGTCATTAAAAGGACGAAATAAGAATTGAATTGGATAATAAATAAAATTCACACCATACCTGAAACAGAGGACATCGTTGTGGGTTGATCCTCAGAGATGGTGGTATTATTTGTGTTAGAGCTCACACACAAAACCAAAAATTCACAAAGGAGAAGGACGCCCAGTAGCTTCATCTTCCTCCCAAATCGATACACAAGTTACTGGAATTGATCAAACTCGATAATAGAGCTACTGGTCCCCGAACCGCATATAACAATAATCAAAAGAACAATTATCACTGGACAATTTGTTCAAAGATCACTGTCACTCACAATCGACATGAGTTTTACCGAAATGAAAAAAGAGAGCTATTGTTGACAACTGACGAATTCTAAATTTGTCGGTGGCCTTTAGACCTCAAAAGCATAAGAATGAGAATGAGACGGAATTTGCTGCATATTCATGCAGATTACAAAAATGATGACATCTTAATATAGCGTGTATTGATTGCTGCCCTAGGAACCGATATTCCGTTGCTTGGGAAACAGATAAAGGGCAAAATTGGAGCGCCTGCAGGCTGTGTCGCCTTGTTCTGGAACCTCCGAGTTCCCATGATAATTGTTCTGAATCATCAATAGAGGCTTATTAATGTAATGCCGATTCAAAAAAAATACTTTGCCCATTAAGTGTAGTAAAAGCTATATCATTTTATACATCATAAAGCGGAAGGGTCTGGGAAAGTAAAAGTATGAGTTAATTTTACTCACAACTTTGACGAAAAAGTAAAGCATCAGAGGCGAAAATAAATTGTGTTACAGTGAGAGCTGTTGCAATGTCCCTTCTGATGACTACTTAATATGATTTCTGCTCCAGCAAGGATATCCCTTTACTTTGGAAATAGAAAGCACAATATTTTAGAAAATTTAAAGGGCGATAGACTGTGCCGCTTTGCTCTTTGTATCCATGATGATTGTTCTGAATAATCAATAAAAGCTAATTATTATGATTTTTATTGTCAAAAACAATAGTCAACCATGAAAAAGACTGGTTTTTTGATTAAAAAAAACGTATTTTTAATCAATGTTAGATTTTCTGTGATTACATTTTGTTCAAATGCAGACCTCGTATAATTTAATGCACTTTAAAATAGATTATGGACTCTATTTATTTCATAGATTATTTTGGAGCAATGCATAAATTGTGAATGTAAATATTGTTATTGGCGACTATTTAAAGCCACCGTCACCTCATATATCGTCTCACGTCAGTACAAATTGGCGACACCAATGAGTGCCAACATTCACTGCAGAGAGTAAAACAAAGATTTTAAAGCATTGGAATGGATAAATAAGACTATTTGACTCAGTAGTTCCTTCATGATTATCTTTCTTTGATCCCCATTATTGACTCAAGCTATATGATATCAATTTTAGTAGTCAAGCAAATTTTGGCTTTTAATTTAATCGTATAACTTCGATAAGATACGTTTAACTATTTGCAATTAATAAGTTTAACATATGCATTACGCTTTATGCATTATGCTTTATGAAGTAAATATTTGTTAACATGTATGGTTTATCAGTATTGTAATTTTTACTTTGACCTAAATAAGAAAAAAATGAATTTGAATGTTGTTTCTATTACAAGTGAATCTTACTCTTGGAATTTTTATATTTTATATTTTTTATATCGATGCTTCATGTAATATACAATCCTCTCAACCAAACTCATGGTTAAGTGACCAGTATCTATTCGAAATTTAGTACACTGTACCTTGTCAAATGGTACTTCTTTTAGTGGTGGAAAAATTAAGAAAAAAATGTGTTTTGTGAAACACTGATGCGAAGGTTAAACTCAAATGCAAATCAAATATGTTCGTACCCAAAGTAAGGCCTTCTCACAAGAAATATAATTATCAGATGTGAAGGCCCTAGCACCACCTGTTTATGACCAAGGTTAAAGTTTATTTTAGGTTAAGATGAAAGGGTCAAAATTATTGTCTTGTCACAAGAAATACTCAGTACGTATTTAAAGTAGGAAGACCCAGCTTTAGGCGTTCAATAGTTATGGCCAAGGTTAAAGTTTTTAAAGTAGGTCAAACTTCTAAGTCAAGGTCAAGGAATCAAAGCTCTTGTTATCCTAGGAAAGGTCTTGTCACAAGAAATACATATATGAAGCATTAAACCCCTAGTCTTAAGCGTTCAAAATTTATGGAAAGGTTATAGATTTTTAAAAGTATGTCAATCTAGCAAGTTCAAGCTCAAATGGTAAGAGTTGTTGAAATCCAATGAAAGCTCTTGGCACATAAAATACATATAAGACAGATGAAAGTCCTAGCGTCAACTGTTCAAAAGTTATGGCAAACTAAAAGTGCGGTAAAAGTGCTTTTTTGTAAAAGTAGGTCAAAATCTAACGTCAAGAGGTCAAACTTGAAGATCACAAAGAAAAGTCTTGTCACAAGAAATACATCTGTGAAATATGAAACCCATAACCCCACTCGTTCAAAAGTTATGGGCAAGGTTAAAGCTTTTGTGGACAAAGAGACAGACAGACGGGGCAAAACTCTATTCTAACATTCTCATAGTGATTCGATATATGATTGAGCATCCACTGTATCTTCGTAGCAAAGGTTAAAAAAAAACAGTATTGAATGTTGATATTATCGTGTATCAAAATCTGAAAAGAATTTTGATAATTTTATTTTATCATTTAAGGATTAACAATTTAGTAGAGATGACATATTTATTTCCGAAAAATACGTAGAAATGCAATCATACAATAAAAATGCTATAACGGATTTATTACTTCACTACAACACCTCACCAACAGCGAAACATAAAATTAAACATTCATAAGCATTTGAAATCAACAGAAATTTCAGCCAAGTTAACATTTAACATTGTATCTAGTGATATGAATATATCCAATTGTAAAAATGCTTTAGAACATTTAAGAATTAGAATAAAAAATACTTTTGATTTTTAGTCATAAAAAAGCATGATATGTACAAATAAAATGTTGAACGACAGTTAAATTCCTTCACAATATACTGTCAAATAAAATACAAAAGTATAAAAAGTATGAACATTATATACAACATCATAATAAATTATTTCAAAGCATTATTATAGTGAACGTCAGGAAAGCTATTGCTTTCAATATCCAACCGTTTTTTGTCACTGAATTTTTCAAATTGGTCGAGGCTCCATTTTCAGGGGTGCCTGTAAATAGGAGTATTTTAATGAGAAATGTTAAGTCTGCAAAGATATCGATTCATTTACAATATCATCATTTAGAACGATATATGATTCTATTATGCAGAGAGAAAAAAAGTTTGATAGTATAAGTCACACTTTTGAAAATTGTTTTTCATTGACTTAACAGTTTATATTATTCTTTTAAAGGAAACAGTTTTGTTCTTTTTATCAATAATATAAATATATTTGCATAAACATTGTCACTTTCAACATCATCAAGTTATATACTAGAAAATGAGGATACATAACTATAATTGAAATTTTTGCAGAGCTTTCTGTGCATTAGAAAAGAAAATTGTATCCCTCTGTTACAGTCTAACATACAAATCGAAACAGAGCATAAGAAGTCTTTAAACATCAAATACGGGATCAGGTACCAGCAGTTCCCTCTATCGACCGGTTACGCGAACGGTGTACTTCTTGTCATGACTGGTAAAAATATCCGTAGACAATTTAGTGTGTAAAATTTGGTAAAAAACGTCATTCAGCATTCGATTTAATGACAGATTGTACTTGCTAAAGAGATCATTACATGAATCATAAAACTTGCAAAAGAAGTAATTTTTAAAAAAAGGACTGAGGATATTTTGTTTCATAAACTTGTTAGTCAATAGCTTGCCTTGTATAAAAATGTTCACAAACGGGCTTATATATATCACAATTTACCAGGTATTAAAAGAAAATGCAATTTTCCTAAGCTTTTTAATTTGTTTAGTATGTCATGCAGTATACTTCGAAGAAATTGAGGACATTTAAAACGTGTAGGCCAGATTCCTAATTAGGCCTATGTTTACTTTTTGGTCTTTATATAAATAATAATAATAGAAATATTTGTAACGTGTACAGGGAAAGTTGTAACTTAAGGAACTTGAATGTTCTCTAAACAATTGTAATTTTTTAAACATAAGTATATTTAAATAGAAAATCATAAAATTGCAATTTTCTCCAAATTTGCAAAATAGAATTCGTATTTTTGCACCTTCAGCAAAGAAAAAATATCAAAAATAAGTCCATTATCGATACAAAAAAACTAGTATTTGTTAATAACCCTCTCCTATAATTTATTAGCTATGTCTTACCAACTATTTTCTTCGTTTATGAGTAATTCTGAATAGAAATATTTAGAAAAGTTGCTGTATGCCTTAAATGGGACTGTTGTGGAGAAATTAAAGTAGTGGATATTGTCAAGAAACATGGTTTATCGGATTTATTCTCCCCTTTTCAATATAAAACACAATACACACAATATTGTTTGATTACAAATTTAAAACATACCAATGCAGCCTGCTAGGATACATATTTTTGCATCATTGGTTTCAAAATAGCAATCATTGAAATGATTAAAAAAAAGACTGTTTGTCATTCGCAGACTCTTTTAGGAGAAGTCAGCCATTCTTTTTGCTGTCAAATGAAAGACCTTATAGTTTTGAAAAAAATTTTGTGTAAAAAAAATTAGTATTCAGTTTTTAAGCATTGAATTCATATTTTGGGATGTCTTCGGTCCTATAACACACCTGGCCTTGCCGACAAATTGACTACCGCGAGTTAGCACGTTATGATACTTTGTCGGCACGGCAATGTGTGTTATAGGACCGAAGACATCCCAAAATATGAATTCAATGCTTATATTTACATTCTCTTATTTTTCCTCTTCATAATTGTTTTTTTCGGCAATCTTTCATGTGAATTTAGCGCCCTTCAAAATCGGTATGCTTTGTAGACGTAAGAGCCATTTGTGACGTTTGTGACGTTGCAAAGTTAAATAATGCAAATGAACATTGCGAGGAAAAATATGACAAATTAATTTTAAACGCACATTTGTTGTATTTTTAGGTTAATTTAACAGGGTTAATTTCTTTATTAAATTGTGTCAAAACAATGTACATTTTAATGTTCCTAGAGTATTGAAAATGCATATAGTTCCTACTGTGTATACTAACGCGCGGTGATAAGGTTTCGCGTGTGTTATAAAGATTTGAATGTCGAGGATTTCTAATAGATTTTATAAAGAAAATTACACTGAATGTAAATATATAAATATGCAGTGTCAAATCGTTAAGATGAACAGTTTAGCTCTCTTGCTTCTTATCAAGATATTATTTAGTATTGAAGAGTAAGAGTTGATATAAATAAACAGTTGATAAGAGCATGCTGTACGTATGCACAATTTTTAAAACGAGGTAACTCAATGAAAAACAAATTGATGAAACAAGAATATCAGCAGTCTCGTTAAAAGTAATCATTTCGTTAGTTCAATGGTCGATAAAATGACTTTGTCAGCAAATACAATTTATCAGCGAGTCTAATTCTGACTGACGTTTTTCATACTAATTGTTATCCATTATTTATTCATTAAATTGAGACGGATTTTCTGTTTTTTCACGATCATGACAAGGAGCGCACTGCGGACGTGACGGTCGGCAGGGGATGGTAACTCCTCCATGGCACCTGATCCAACCCCAGATTGTTTTGATGTCCGTGTTTGCTCTGCTCCTCTTTTGTATTGTTTTATGGACTTTTGATTCTGAATACTGTTCTTTTTCTCAATATATTCCATATAGCACCAAGATACAGTAACTTCAAATGGTTTGAAAAAATGATTTTTGTTGTATTTTCCTTCGAGAATTAATCTCTGATATAAAAATGTCACCATATGCTTAAACCAAATCTTGGGGGGTTCTTCAAAGTACCTATGCTTACTTTGACAGGAGCATCTTTTTTACACGATTTTTCTCAAAGACCCGTAATTTTCACTTAATTCTACATGTAATTTAATTCCAAGTGCTAGGCAAAAGAGCAATCAATGCCTGTGTTTACGTTTTAGGTCGTACCTGACACGGCAAGGGCTATTAGAATCATGACCTCTAAATCACACAGCAAACTCTATTCATATCTATCTACCTTGATCTTGAAAATAAGATTAACATTGATCACTTGCCGAACAAGTTTCAAACGCCTTAATTTCTCAAATCTTCCGATTTAGCATCACCGATTAGTCCTAGAGCCACTAAGTTGCATACGTATTTTAATTTTCGTCAAATTTATGCAATTTGTACCATGAAATCCTCTTTTGATGAAAGTAGAACTCATGTGGGAGAAGTAATTGAAACATCATTTTTAAACCTTCTAAAAATATTTGTTATCACATGTTTATAAATCATTGTAGGTATATGGAGGGTTTCCCTGTTATTAATTGTAGAGCAACCCATGCAACTTGGAAAGACAATTAAACCCGTAGATTTTCAGCAATTTTAAGGACACTTGATTACAAGTAGAAGAAAGAAATAAAAATGCTTTTTCAAACATCTTTAATTTCTTGAAATAAAAAAAATCTCAAACATATTTTTTTCATTCAATTGACATGAATGATTGCAGTGTATATCCACTTAAAAAAAACAAAGAGGTTAATATTTTTAAGAAGATTTTCAATTTAAGCCAGACTTTTTTTCGCAGTGTTTCAATGATTAATATGATTGAAAACACACAAAATGATTTAAAAATAATCTATTGCATTATAAATCTTTCCCAGTAAATAAGTCAGAAATTAGAGACAATTCGTAAATCTGTAGTACTTCTGCTGACCTTTTCGGGCTTACAGATGAACAAAGGAGTAATAAATACTCATATTTACTAACAAACATTAATCAATAAATGTGAATTCTTATTTAAGAGAGAATAGTGTTTTTTTAAATTACGGTTATTGAAACCATAAATCTCTTTCTAGGGAGAAAACTCTTCAAGACCATATTTCAGCATTCACAGAAATCAAAATGAATTTGAACGGATTGAACAGAATTTGAACGGATACCAAACTTTATAAAGAACCTCATAATTTTTGTGGGGATCCAGTTAATTATTATATTTTTATCAAATCTCCTTCTTTACTCCTCTCTTAATTTAAATTGTAAAGGAGAACGTTAAGCGTACTGCATAACAGTATATTCGATAAAAGGTGTAATCAACATTTTGAAGCTTAAGAACCCTAAGAAATTTGCTGAAATCAAAAAAATTAACAAAACTATTATCATCAAAACGTACGGCTGTTTAAAAAAATTTATACAACCATTTCCCACAGTGACTTAAAGTCGAAGATTTTGACGTTATAGAGTTTTGGGATTTTTAAATAAAAATGGAACTCTTTTACATATCTACCTTGTCATAAGTCATTTAGAAAATTATTGTATTATAAAAAATTCTGGTTGTATACACAAGTCCTTGTACTCCGAAGTTGACTTTATAAAGATACTCTGGTTTAATTATGATTGATAGACGTAGAGACTGGTCCTTGAGACCGTAAAAACCGAGGTGCCGTGTCGCAGTAGGTGTTGGCACGAAACAGATCCCTCCCTGCTCAATGGCCCTCAGTGCCGAGTATAGGATAAACAATTACAGCTCTCCATTGGCAAGTGGTGGCGTCTCCATAAGAGTGAAAAATTCTCGAGAGAGACATTAAACACTATGCAATCAATCAATCTGAAAGAGAGAGGTTAGTTAGGGTGTGGGGTGTGGGGGGGGGGGTTAAATTCAATAAGACTTTACAAACCTTCTCGGCTTGATGATTCCGCTAATTCAAATGTGCTTGGGCTGCCTCTTGTTGATGTTGATGATGTTATTTTTGGTTTCAAAGTCGTATTTGTTGTTGTTAATGTTGTTTTTGGTTTCAAAGTAGTATTTGTTGTTGTTAATGTTGTTTTTGGATTCAAAGTAGTAATTGTTGTTGTTAATGTTGTTTCTGGTTTCAAAGTAGTATCTGTTGTTGTTAATGTTGTTTTTGGTTTCAAAGTCAGATTTGTTGTACGTGTTGTTGTGTTTGGTTTCAAAGTCGTATTTGTTGATGCTGTGTTTGGTTTCAAAGTAGTATTTGTTGTTAGTGTTCTGTTTTGTTTCAAAGTCGTATTTGTTATATGTGTTGTTGTGTTTGGTTTCAAAATCGTATTTGTTGTTAGTGTTGTGTTAAGTTTCAAAGTCGGATTTGTTGTACGTGTTGTTGTGTTTGGTTTCAAAGTCGTATTTGTTGATGCTGTGTTTGGTTTCAAAGTAGTATTTGTTGTTAGTGTTCTGTTTGGTTTCAAAGTCGTATTTGTTATATGTGTTGTTGTGTTTGGTTTCAAAATCGTATTTGTTGTTAGTGTTGTGTTAAGTTTCATAGTCGGATTTGTTGTACGTGTTGTTGTGTTTGGTTTCAAAGTCGTATTTGTTGATGCTGTGTTTGGTTTCAAAGTAGTATTTGTTGTTAGTGTTCTGTTTGGTTTCAAAGTCGTATTTGTTATATGTGTTGTTGTGTTTGGTTTCAAAATCGTATTTGTTGTTAGTGTTGTGTTAAGTTTCAAAGTCGGATTTGTTGTACGTGTTGTTGTGTTTGGTTTCAAAGTCGTACTTGTTGTTATTGATGTTATGTTTGGTTTCAAATTCGTTGTTAGTGTTGTGTTAAGTTTCAAAGTCGAATTTGTTGTTATTGTTGTTGTGTTTGGTTTCAAAGTTGTATTTGTTTTTAATGTTGCGTTTGGTTTCAAAGTCGTATTTGTTGTTAGTTTTCTTGAGTGAAGTATCGGATTCGTATTTATTGTTTTTGAAGTCACGTTTGATATAATTGCCGAATTTTGTATTTGTGATGTTGTTTTCAATTTCATTGTCGTATTTGTCTTTGGCACAAATGTGTTATTTTTTGTCGTTGTATATGTGTTTGAAATCAATGTCTGATTTGCTCTCGCTGTTATTGCGTTTGACAACATTGTTATATTTGTTGATTGTGCTGTCGTTGTTGGTATTGTTGTTATATTTGACTTCAGTGTTGTTGGTTTTGATTCTACAGTCGTATCTGTTTCTAGTGGTATTGCTGCTGATGTTGTTGTTCTTGTATTTTGTGTGACTGGATATAATGTTATTGATGATTGCGTCGGTTGTGTTTTAGCTTTGGAGGATCCGTATGTGATACTGCTAGCTGCTCTGTTAAATTAGAGGATATGTTAAACTTTATGTTATGGTTTGTTTCTTTGTAAAAAGATTAAATATTCTTTTTATATATTTGAACATAAAATGTATTTCTGAGAGGCTGGTTATAAAACATAAAACAAGAACTTAAGTTTACAAAAACACCTTTTCATTACTTTTGACACAACAGGATTCATGTAAAGACAAATAATAATAAATAATAGATTAAATTCTGATTATAACAGATCAGAAAGTAAAAGGTAAAATAAATTACCCATTTGTTGAAATTGATTGAAAGAAAGTAACCACGAGCAGTGCATCCACTAAATGCATCATCATCTAAATTTGGAAGCATAAAATAAAAAAGAAATAGTCCAAACAAACTAACTGTTGATACATATTATTGTAATGTTTGCAATGGTTCTTATTAATAGCTGAACTTTACAATGTTATAGTAATAAGCCTTACCTTTTGACAAATCTAAATTTCCTTTTACAAATTGATGTTTAGTATCACCGGTTCTCGTTTAGGTACAATACAGTACAGAATATCACGGTGACCAATGCTTTTATCTAAGCATCACTTTATACCTGCGATAGTATTTATTGATAGAATAAGAACCAATCCACCAAATATCGCTGTTGTCAAGATTACCGCCGATTAAAACAATAGAATCGTCAGCCATTGTTTACCTAACGGTTAATCAAGCCTCAATTAGTCAATATTCCATCTTTACCGGCATACTATTCATCATTTATTTTTTTTTCTGTTTTCAGTTAAGAGTTATTTCAATTTATCACAATCAGGTGCATCAATTGATACCTCAACAATTTTTTTTTTCTATTTAAAATTTACTTGCTGTTAATGTTAAGATTTTGGTGTTAATTGATCGGATATACGTAAAACATATGTCATTCGTGCTTAAATAGTTTTTTTATTAATATAATAAAAGAAATAAGAATTATATTTCCATATCTATAATTAATATTTTCCATACTATGCTCGACTACAGATTTTTAAGGATCTTTGGATAGGTGATCAACAAGCATGCTTGTTGCGGATAGAATAAGTTGAGAGGGGACACTTAAGTTTGTCAATGTTATCAAAGTCCTTGATTCGTCAAGTCTTGATTCGTATTGTTTAAGATTAAGGCGATTTTTGTTTGATTTAGTCACTCTAAAAACAAAATCGTTAAATATTTACTCATGTTGTATTATTAATTAATAATTTGTTTTTAGAATAAAAGTTGTATATTAACTTTTTAAAATAAAAAAATTACCACATAAGGCGAATTATCAATAAAGATGTCAGCATAAATCAATATCTGTTAGTTGTATGTTATATTTCTAATATTTAGAAACAAGAGGCCCACGGACCAATTGCTAACCTGAATAACCTTGACCATGCTATTCTTTACCAGATTCCACCTTGTTATATTTATTTTGGCACCGCCCTGCCCACAGGGGTCATGCTTTTAACAATTTAGAATTTACGCTACTCCAGGATGCTTCCACATGAGTTTCAGCTTTTCTGGCCTAGTGGTTCTTATGAAGAAGATTTTTAAAGTTTTTTCCTTTATATTTCAACGTAAAACTTGGATTCCCTATTGTTGCCCCACCCTACCCCCAGGGTTCATGATTTTTACAGTTTTAAATTCTACACTACTTTAGGATTCTTCCACATAATTTACAGTTTTTCGTGCCCAGTGGTTCTTGAAAAGAAGATTTTTAAAGATTTTGCTATACATTGCAATGTAAAACTGGGATTCTCTTTTGTGGCCACACCGTATCCCCGGGGGTCATGATTTTTACAATATAAATTTTACACTATCTTAGAATGCTTTTACATAAGTTTCACTTTTTCTGGCCCAATGGTTCTTGAGAGGAAGATTTTTATAAAGATTTTCCTTTAAGTTAGCGTAGATTTGATTCAGCGCTATACGAATGTACTAGATATAAATATTTGATATACAAGACATTTAGCGATGTAGTTGATTTAGCGGAAACAGTTTTAAGCCAAAGTCGCTTAATAGAATACACCGCAAAATGTAATACGTTTACAGTATATTTCAATGTAAACTTGGATTCTCTATTGTGGCCACACCCTACCCCCGGGGGTCATGATTTTTCCAATTTAAATTCAACACTATCTTTGAATGCTTCCACATATGTTTCAGCTTTTCTGGCCCTGTGGTTTTTGAGAAGACTTTTAATGACATCACCTTATTTTTGTCGGTTTTTTTTATTATCTCCCGTTGGAAGGGGACTTGGCCCCCCTTTTTATTTTACAATATTTTCACAATTTAAACTCACCTTCATCCAATGATTCTTTGTATCAAGTTTGGTCAAAATTGGCCCAGTGGTTTTTGAGAAGAAGTTGAAAATGTGAAAAGTTTTCAGACGGACTGACGGACGGGCAACGGACGACGGACAAAAGGTGATTCAGCTCAGGTGAGCTAAAACATATTTTCAAAATATATGAATTTTCTTTTAATGTGTGTTGAAGAACCAGTTCATTAAAAAGGCTATATTAGGGTATCTTTATGGAAGAAAGATAAGATTTGTTGTTTTATTTTCTGAAATCGATGTTTATCACATAGAAACCATTTTTTGAAAATACAATCTCCTATACTTTGAGTGTCCTCTATCTGAGGAGAGATAACAAGAAGTCATTTATCTAGAAACATCTTCGATTCAAAGTTTTTTAGTTTTGTTTTGACGACACTATCTTTAATATTTGATATAGCTAAGCAATGAAATGCACAATCCTTATAATACAAATAAATAAGATTGTTCAAACGAAAAAATGTTCGCTGTATATTTATATAGTGAACTATTATTTTGCCTGGATAGGCAAGAGCATGCTCTTCGAAAAAAATATTTCACAAACAAGGCACGTCAATAAAAGTTGATGAAATGAAAATAATACGTTTTTTTTAATTTATAGTTCTTGGGACATCTGAATACATGCGCATCTTCTATAATTTTTAAGAGAGAGAGATAACATAGTAACATTAACCAAGTCTTCCAGTTCTTCACATTAGTATTGTCCTTCAAAACAATAACATATTTGTATCATGAAATTATTGTAAAAGATATTATTATTAAGGAAGTCGTTTAATTTTATATATCTCATTCAAAAAGAAAATCTTCGGGGCGTAGAGATCTTTTCTTATAAAAACATAACACCGATTTTGTCTCAGTTTTTTTCAATTTGATGACAATACGAGGGCAGGTCAAAAATTACGCGGACTGTGCTATTATTTACTTTTACAGACGTCCTATAGTTATGAAATTTCACAGAAATATGTACATTAAAGATTCCAATAAATTTTGGGCAAAATTTCTGTATTTTTTAAAAAAAAGAATCCTTCCAAAAATTATCGATATGTTGATATCGCTGATGGCGAGGTACGGAGCACGACAAAAAATTTGAAGCAAAAGCATGCGGATTCCAAAATTTAACTCATTTATTTTCTATAATTCGCGATATTTTCCAACAATTTTCTTAAATCTTTAAATTGTTCTATTATTATGCATTTAGATTTCTGACGTGATTTTTGAAGTACTAACAGAAATATAGTGATTTTTCTCTGATACGATTCCCGTGAAAACGACTGTGAAAATGACATCTCCTGAATTGACGGCGCACCACACTTTTGTTAAATTATGCTCGAGATATCGCCAACATAGATCCAAAATATGCATAATAAAACATGTAGTAAACTAGGGTGTTCGTGACATTTGTCCACAAACAGCAAATTGAAATTTTAGACCGTTAGACCTCTGTAAAAAGGCTATACAGAAGGACGGGAAGAAGATTATCGACGAAAACTTTATCTGGACTGTAAAGAACGTGATTGGGAATTTGGGAGTCACCAATATCACACTTTATCTCATAAATACCTGCAGTTTTTGGTTTTAACACAAAAAAAGAATATTCTTTACTTGTTCAATAGATTTTAAGCTTGACAAGAAATAGTGTTTGGATGTTGAGTAGATAAGGTAACTCAAACTGTGCAGATACTCTTGGGAAAATGTTGAGAAAGTGAAAGCTCATTAACATATTTTTTATAATGCCTGTGACGTCGAAGATTTGGCTGCTCCGTGACTTAATGACATGTCCTGAAAAATTGCTCAAAATTGATACCAATTTACAACATTTTGATATGAAATTTTGAAGACCATATAAGTAAAGATTCTTTTAAATTATTGTGGCATTTTGCCCGATTAAGTCGTCACATATTTTTTCTGTGCAACACGTCCGCGTAATTTTTGAACGGCCCTCGTATAAACATTTTTTTATGAAATATAAATCATCAATTAATATCTTTCTTAACAGTTATATCCAAACTATTTATGTATGCCTGTATCAATTCACTTTCCCTGGAATTTCTTTCAATAGTTTGTCAATATGCAAACTAATAATGTCTTAATGCATTACATGAAACACATGGAGATAACGAACAGTATTCAAGATCAGAAGTCCATAAAACAATGAAAACAAGAGCAGAGCAATCACAGACCTCTAAAACATCAGAGCTGGTCTCAGGTGCCATGGAGGCGTGAGGACCCGATGCTGAGCCGTCACACCCGCCACGTGCTTCTTGTCATGATCGAGAAATAACGGGTAACTCCGTCGTCACTATAGTATGTAAATAATGGCTTTACAATTAGTTGCGTTTCCAGGTTGCATAATGACCAAAAAGTCTCGCTTTTTCGCAAAACATTGGTCGCTTAACCACAAACGTGTTGGAAAAATCAGTCGTCAATTCAGTGTGTAATTTATAGACTGACAATTGGTATGAAAAACTTTAGTCAGTATTTGATTCTGTATACAATGATAAGTTGTATTTGCTAACATTAGTCTTTGTATCGGCCATACTGTAGAACTTACGAAATTATGACTTTAAACGAGACTGCTGATATCTATATTTCATTATTTGTTTGTCAAAATTTTAGTTAGTTTTAGAAGTTGTACATACGTAGAGCATGCTGTTGCTGTTCTAATCAACTAATACCCCATTCATTCGACGGAAAATTGCTTATGTGTGTAAATTTACATATGAGTAAATCTACGCACGTAAGTTAAAGTTAATTTGCTATGCGTTTAGACGAGATTTTTGTATTGTAAGTAAATCCTTGTACATGTATTTTCATTTAAAATAAAGAGATCCATAGATTCAGAATTGTAGACTTTTATAGAAAAAGGTTATTTGTTTACTATTTTGGTATAAGACTAACTTTTAAATGTTCCTTTAAAGATATTAGGGAGGAAATCCGATCCACTTATTTTTTGGGACGGAAAAAGAATTTAAGAACTTTAAGGAAACAAAATCATAGGAAAAAGGGAAAATTAATTAAAATCATTGTTTAAAGTTGAAAAATGATTGATCCCGGTCCTAAAGACTGTCGGAGAACCGTTGCAATTGGGTGTAAAGAAAAAAGTCGCTATTGCCATCTAATGGTTGGCGTCTTCATCAGAATAAAGGACGACTGGGAATCTTTTTGGTGTTTGGAAATCTATGTTACATCAAGTTTGCAAGGTCTTTATGAAGTTTCTCCTTG